TTTGCATATCGTCTTTATCCTCATCCTATCAATCTTTTTTAGATGCCAGAGACACCTTTAACAAGTTCCTATTTCCAGAGAGTCTGCTCTTTTCCTCTCCTGCCTGATCAGGTGATATGCAGAGGCCTCTACCTTTGTCACTGGCTTCTCCATGGAACTAGGTCTGTGACCACAGAGAAAACAGCAAGAAGAGTGAAGAGTGAATCTTATCGCTAGGCGGGTAAGTCCAATTGATTTACCCTGAATTAAATTGAATGCAAGAATGGGTGGCCCCTGAGAACTCACACACAGGGCACAAGCCCCTACTATTGATAAGAACACAAAGTGTTTTTGTCTGGTTCCATTAAAATGTAATTTTTTTTTTTTTTTTTTTTTTTTTTTGCATCCCAGGGTTTTAGGACCTTGGAATTCTATACATTCCTGCCCTTGAAAAATGCCTACTGCAATAAAGAGAGGACCCTCCATTGTGTTCTCTTCACAACACTGAAGGTTTAGCCTCTCCCTCAGCCTGCTGCCTGTACTCCAGAATGTGGCAGTAGCCTGGAATGCAAGGACCTGTTTAGATTCTGAAAAAAGAAAACACACAAAACTTGGTCAACGACACTAGTCAATGGGAAAATGCAAGATAAAACCACAATGAGTTGTCACTATTGATGGGTCATAGCCCATCAGATGGCTATGATTAGAAAGACAATATTATGTGTTGGCAAGGATGTAGAACAAGAACCCTAGTAGTACAGTAATATATCAGCTTCATCATTTTGCAAAACACTTGGTATCATCCACTAAAAATGAACCATAAGCATTCTCTATTATGCAGCAATTCCACTCCTAAGTATCTAGCCAGCAAAATGTTTGTACATGTGCAGTAAGAGCCATCTACAAAAATGTTCATGCAGCATTATTGGTAACAGTCCTTACTGAAACAACCCAGTATCATCTGTAGTAGCATGCATAAGTAAATAGTGGTTTAGTCAGAAAAGGGAATACTATACAGTATTGAACATGATGGAGCCATGGCTCTATGCAACAGAACAAGTGAATTCACGAACATAACGTTGGTGAAAAGAAGCCAAACACAAAAGCATGAATAATGTATGAGTGCTTTCATATAATTTGCAAAACAAGTAAATTATAATCTATGGAATTAGAAATCAGGATAGCAGTTACACTTGAAGAGAAAGAAGGCAGTGTTTGAGGAAGGGTGTGAGAGAGGCTTTCGGAGGGTTTGTCAACATTCTATTTCGAGGCTTGTGTGATGGCTAAATATGTGTACTTTATGGTAAATCCATGCAAGCTACGTTTTGGAGGAAAGCAGTTTTCTGTGTATGCGTGATGTTTCACAATAAAAGCATGGTTTCTTGTTGCTTTTTGTTTGTTTGTTTTTTAAGTGTGAGTGCTTCTCAAGAATCCCTGACTTGTGGCTGAGTTCTGACAAGTTGCAGTGTGAGGATTTAGGTCAAGGATCTCCAGTAAACATCCTAGCAGCTCTCGCCTTTTCCCTTCCCTCATGTGCTAAATGTAGAGAGAGGATCATATGGCTTGTCTCCTTTATGCACTAATATGGTGACTGGGTATTTCCAAACATTAAACCAACGTGACATCTGTTTGTCAAACCTCATTAGGTTATGATGTATTATTCTTTAATATATTGCTGGACATTAATTTCTAATACATAGTTAAGGAATTTTTCATGTATGATCATGAGAAATACTTATTTTAGTTGTCCTTTTTCTAATAAATTTTCTGATAATGTAGTATCAATATAGTCCTGGAGTCATAAATTGAGTTGGGGAATATTCCTTCCACTTGTTTTCTGAAAGAGTTGTGTAGGATTGGTGTTTTCTTCATTCTATGTTTGACAACTAACCAGAAAAGCCATCAGGGCCTAGAGATTTTTATATTGTGGGAAATTTTTCAATTAAAAATTATAAATAGATATAAAACATTGCAGATTTTCCACTTTTTCAGTTCTGGAAATTTATAGCAAAAGTTACCCATTTTGTCTAAATTGTCAAGCTTATTGACAAAATTCTTTGTAGTATTTCCTTATCGTTCATTTAATGTCTGTATGATGTGTAGTGATGTCCCATTTTTATTAAAATGGTCCTTTGTGTCTTCTTTTTTTTCCCTTAGCCTAGCTAGAAGTTTGTCCATGTTGGCAATATTTAAAAAAAAAAACACAACAGTTTTTTAAAAGATTTTATGTATTTATTTTTAGAGAGAGGGGAAGGAAGAGAGGGAGAAAAATAGCAATGTGTGGTTGCTTCTCACGTGGCCCCTCCTGGGGACCTGGCCCACAACCCAGGAATGTGTCCTGATTGGGAATTCGAACCAGCAACCTTTTAGTTCGCAGGCTGGCACTGAGCCACCCCAGCCAGGGCTCAAAAACAGTTTTTGGCTTTCTTGTCTTTATCTCTTGCTTGCCTATTTTCCATGTACTTGATTTCTACTCTTTATTAGTTCTTTTCTTCTACTTCTTAATTTTTATTAAATTTTGTTCTTCCTTTTTCTAGATTCCTAAGGTAGAAGCCTCGTCCACCAACATTGTACTTTGGTTCTTTTCTAATACCAGTATTTAAAGCTATGAATTTCCTTTCTCCTTTTCCCCCTGCCCTGCACTTCCCTCCCCCTTCTCTTCCTCTTCTCCAGTTTACTGCTCCACAAGTTTTCAGCGGCCTCATACTTCATGAACCTCAATTTATGTTCTCTCAACAAGGCAATATTGCCAGGCTCAGCTTGGGTTCCCCGTTCCTGCTTATTTCAGAAAGTGTCTCCAGGCAGAAATTAAGGGCAAGCATAGAGGTCACATCTTGTTATCCAGTGTCTGAAAACAGTTGTTTCGTGTATTTTGTCTGGTTGTTCACAGCAGGTCAAGTTCAGTCCGTTTCTCTATTGTGGCTAGAAGTAAAAGTCTTGTTTTATATTTTCACCATATATTGTGCCCCCCTAACAGACACTAACTCTATACCATGTAGAATTGGTCTTATACCATACAGATTGGTCTGTTTCTGGTTTTAATTAATAGTATTATATTTGAAACTTTAGCCTTTTCTAGTTTATTCAATCAACATTGTTTTTAAAGGTCTGTCCATATTGCTGTGGTACATCTAGTTTGTGATTCTGTCCCATAGTAGTTTCACCAGCACACAATGTTTATTTCATTTATTAAGATTTTTTGTTATGAAATTGTATTAATTTTTTTTTTCATAAAAGTTTCATGCATTCCCTGTCAGGTTAATTCCTAGATAATTCAGTGTGTTACTAAAGTGAATGATATTTTATTTTCTAGTTGATTTCCCTGTTGTCTGGGTCTCGGCATCTGATCCTAATTGAAAGGTGACGCAGAAATTTCAGGGAAAACCTGTATTCCCTGAAGACACTGAATGACATAAAGGACTAGGGAGATGATGTTTTTCAGCTCTTCAGTATTTCTCCATACACAGTCTCAGAGTCTACAAGCACACTGGCAGCCGGGAATGACCCAAAGTAAACAGAAGCAAGCCCCACAGTCATCTGATGGCCTGCCCTGGGCTGGGCTGTTCTGCAAGTGTGTTTAGACCTCCTATCAGGGCTCTATATCGGGGAAACAGAAGAATGTGGAGCTGAGGTGGAGAGATGAAGCTACAGCAATTCCAACCCCTCTTTAACGTGTGCCTCCGCCTAGCCCCGGCCCTGGGTGGAGGAAGGGCTGCACCACTGGGCCCCAGCTGAAAAAAAATGTCAGTTTGACTGGGACAAATAGTCTTGCTAGTTGTACCAAAGCTAACAATGTGGCTCCTTAGCAGAATGATGGTTCATTTTATTCTTAGCCTTAGGAAGGCAGTGAAGACTTCAGGAGGCTATTTAAGCCTCACTAGGAAAAGGGATCCAGTCATGGCTCACAATGACAAGTAATAAAAACACATCTCCAGTTCAGCCAGTGCGTGATGAAACCTGTTATCATGTAAGCAGAAGAAAATCACAGCGCCAATGGGCCGGACAGCCAGTCAGCCTGCAAACATTTACCAAACATCTCCATCTGCCTGTATTGTGCCAGGTACTAATAACACAGAGAGGGACCAAATATCGTTCTTGTTCTCAAGTAACTTATATATAAACACATTAGTTTAGTATTCTAATAATTCTAGATTTGGGGTAGAGTATGGCACCAAAAAAACTGGACTAGGGGCCATAGAGTCCAATAAGGTTTTTGAAAGATGATTACATGTGAGCTCATTCTAGACACCGGGCAGGTGTTCCCCGGATAGACAATGCAGGAAAGAGCCTTCCAGGCCAAAGGGCAGGAGCTAAAGTAAGTAGTCATAAAGTCAATTGCTGGGCTCAGGAAACTGCAGGTATGTTTACACAACTGACATGTTCATCACTGTGTCCCCCAGACCTAAACACATCCTGGAACACACTGTGTGAATGAAGGAGTAGTCAACGAAGGAAGGAAGGAAGGACATAGTGGGGAAGAGCACAGGCTTTGGAGTCAGTGTTTAGGTCCTTACTTTTAAAACCAGGAGTGGCTCCTTTCTTTATGCCAGGTCTATTTTTAGTTCTTTTAAAATAAACTATATTAGATAAGGTATCTAAAGTAGTCAAATTCATAAAAGAGAAACTACAATGATGGATGCCAGGAGCTGGGGGTAGGGGAAATGGGGAATTGTTACCAGGTATGAAAAAGTTCTGGAGACTGGTCTCACACAATGTGAATACACTTCACACTACTGAACTGTGTACTGAAGAATGGTTCAGATGGCAAAACTTTGTATTTTACCACAATTAAAATGTTAAAAAATAAACTATGACGTCCCCCAGTTACCTAAATTAGGAAAGGGTTATTTTGTCTACATTATCATTGGATGATGTAGGCCAGAATGTCTTCTCAGATATGAGACCCCTCTGTTTTGTGAGATAGACAGAGAGGGTGTGATTCTGGGTATCTGCTTTAGAATGAGAGAGATTTCTTTCATTGTTTTTTCTCATTTGTAATTTTAATCAAAGCATTGCTAATATCTAAGTTAACTTTTGGGGAAAAGAAACACCATAAACAATTTTCCCCCAGAACAAGACAACATGTTCACTCCTCCAAACAATCAAATTCAAAGTCTAACAAAACAAAAAAGAAAAGTACACACATTTTTTAAAAAGTAACAAAATCATGATACAGGGATTTAGTGTGCACTTAGCAGCCTTCTCCCAGCTGTCTTTCAATTAAAAAAAAAAAAGCACCCTAGCTCACCAAAATATACATTTTTCCATTTGTTTTTTAAAATCAAAAGTAACAATTAGAAAAAGGAAACTTGGAAGAAATTCACCATCAATTGCCTGACTCAATTCGATGTCATGCGCAGCATATGAAGGTCAGGAAGACTATTTGCAGCACACAGGATGAGGGCGTGTTGATCTTCAAGGCTGAGCTTTCTTCCAAACAGTGTAAAATACCCACAACTCCATGTATGAAGGCACGCAGACGACTTCCTTCGAGAATTCCACAGGGCAGTTGAGGCACCCAAGTTGTTGTTCGTAGAGTGAAAGGGCTTCCGTCAAATTGACACAGTTCCCCTGTGTAAAATATTTCCCATCCTGCTTCAGTACTCGCATTGAGAGGTCGAGAATCAATCTGAGAAACTCCCATGTGGACGCTTCTTCCGGAGATGTGGAGATTGGAACGGCTGTCAGATCATTAATCACATAATCAAACTGTTTGCCTTCTTTGGCGTACTTCTTCAGCACGGGAATACAGTCTTCTATGAGAACCTGATAGCAGCCTCCTGTAAGATTGTCTAAGACGTCACCGCACGTTTTTCGCATGTATTTCTTACATCCCTCAATCACCATGTGGTCGATCTCTACCATAGTGGCCATCCTTGGTTTCAGTTTGACGATCTCACACAATATGCCCCCGTCTCCGCCTCCCAGGATCAGTACATCTTTGCCGGCGTAATCCTCTTTGCCACTGCCCATGATGGCCTGGGTGTAGGCCCAATCACTCTCCGCCAGATTGACATCTCCACTCAGGATGAGAATATTCCCGTACTGCTTCGAGTGTAGAATTTTAATATTCTGATAAGGTGAATCTTCATCATATACCACTTCATCTATGTCATACTCAACGAGGCGTCCATCAGCAGTGGGCCAGTATCTATCGACAGCCCCTCCTCGAACTATGGGTGGCAGTCGCTTCACCCTCCCAGGACTGTCCTGACTCAATCCTCTCAGTCTTTCTTCTACTTTGTTCAAAAGACCGTCAACTTCTTTGGCTTGCGCAACACCGTCATAACTCTGAACGTCCAGCGACACCAAGCCATGTGGGTAAATCCTCAAGTTGGCAAAGCTACCGTTTTTGCTGAGGTAGGTCGCTAAATAGCCATGGTCCTGCCAGGTGTGCAGCGACTCCGTCATCCCCTGCTCCAGGAAAACGGACCGGAGGCCTTTGAGAACGGTGTCGCAGTCCGCTTGGGCGCGGAGCCGGAAGTCCAGCGTGCTGTGCCGCGCCGCGGCCATAGCGAGGCCAAGCCCCACGGAGGCGGCCGCGAGAGTACGGACACCTAGCAGCAGCTCAGCTGGCTGCCGGCTGGAACTGCCCAAAGAAGGAGAGGTTTCCGACCCCTTCCAGAATCGTTTGTAATAAATGACTGGCCCAGGTGAGGTCCAATCATAAGCTCATTACCTCCGGGGACGACCACTGCAGACCACTGCGACCACTGCGCCGCGAGTCCTTTTCCGGCTGTATCCAGGGGCGGTCCTAGTAACTAGGCTACGTCCAGAGAAGCCGCGGAAGGTAAGCCCAGCGTTCCAAGGGGGCGGAGCTGGGCGAAGATTCTAGGGGGCGGGCGGGAGTGAGAGCTGAGGGAGGAGGGTAACCCAGGACGCTGTTGCCTGGAGACAGCCTGCTGAGCCTGAAGACCGCGGAGGACCCGCCTTCTGTGAGAGTCGAGAAGGCATTGAGAATAAGCTGGGTCAGGCTCAGTGGGGCCAAGGCCATGGCTGGACACCAAAAGGAAAAGGTGATGCTAGATGAGGTGCATCAGAACCAGATCTTGCGGGAATTGTACCTCAAAGAGCTACGAACCCAGAAACTCTACACGCAGTATCAAGTGAATCCCCTGCGCAAAGGTGAGGGGCGCCCCGGGCAAGAGGAGCCGTCCGTCCGGGTCAGGGGGAGGCGGAGTTGGGGTGGAGGACTGCAGGAGAGGCGTACTCCGACCTCACCCTCATCCCTAGACTTCTGGAACTAGGACTTTTGGTGAGGGCGAGGGCGGGGGCGGGGGCGGGGCGGGGGGAACGGGTGGCGCGCAGTTCATCCCACATCCCATCAAACATATTAAATATATTTAAATGGTCGCGGTGAATTTTTTGTTGTAAGAAAATTGAAAGTCTTTTTATAATTTTGCTTTTGAAGTAATTATATTGGCCAGGGCAGGATTTTATGTATTTTGTTTTGCTTGTGCTTTTGATTTGTCTTTAATGAAAAAAAGGTTTTGTTTTTGTTTTTATTTTTGTTTTTCAGGCTTTTAACTTGTCTTAAACCTTCGGAAAGTTCAAGGGTAGTAGACTCAGGGCCCATAGTGTCCTCCTGATAAAATGGCCTTACCTTCCACTCCTTACTTCGCACATTCCTGGGGTGGTTTCATCTGGTTCCCTAACAGCAACTCCCCCTGAATGCCACTGAGGCTCAAATGGAGCCCCAGACCCATATGCACCCCCTTCCCCTGGACAATCCGTGGCTGCTTCAAATTCACCAGTTCCAAAACTAGGCACATCCTGCGCCCCCCCCCCACCCCTGCCCCATCTGCTGCAACTCCAGAATATCCTCTCTTTGCAAAAGTCACCACAACCATTTTTTGTCTGAAATTAGAAGCCTAGGAGTCATCCTCAATCACCCACTCCCTCACTCCATGCATCTAAGCCCTCAAGTTATTAACATGTCTCTCACCTGCCCCTTCCCATGTTCCTACCTCCATGAAACACACCGTCATGCATGTGGAGGCATCTCCACCTCTCCTCATTTAATTCTGCCCTCTAAACAGTGCCTGAGTCTGCCTCTCTCTCCATGCTCACCCCCAGGCCTCAACAGAGTCCTCCTCACTTCTGCCTGGATTGATCTGCTGGACTCCTAACTACTCTTTTCCTCCAGGTCCACCCTACCTTCCCAACCCTTACCCTAGGGGCTACAGTTAAGCTAAAAGGCAAGTTGGATCCTGCCATCCTGCCACGAAATCTTCAGTGGCCCCACAGCTTCTGAGTTGACCTGTGGACCCCTGTGGATATGGCTGTGCTGCCCACTCAGCTTCATCCTCACTCCCCTCCCCACCCACACACTCTTCCTCTGAGGAATGTTTTAGTGCCTACTCTGCACCAGCCACATGCTCCCTTCTCTCCTGCCATCTAAATACATGGATTTCCTAGCATATCCTTTTATTCCCAGCCTCTTTATAAACATTGCTCCTTCTTCCTGAACTTGTCCCCCACCTTCTAGACCTAATTAACTCTACTTCACTGCAGCCCAGCTCCATAGAGAAAAATGCAATGTCATTTTTAACATAAAACTGTATATATTTAAGGTGTATTATATGCTATTTTAATATACGTACTGAAATGATTACAGCAGTCAAGCTAAGTAGCATAGCCGCCTCCCCACATAGATACCCAGTGTATGTTTGTGTGTGTGCGCATGCTCACAGAAAACCTAATGTCTTCACTTTTCTTACAATTTAACCTGGTTTTCTACAGGAATCCCCAACCACCAATTTCAGGAAAACAAAGTAATGTGCAATTTTTTTTACATTTGGTCCATGCCAACAATTAAAAAATCCCTCAGCGGCCTTCAGGCTTTCTAGGGAAAATGATGCTCTCCCAATCTGTGCCCTTAGAAAACATGATTAATATGATCCATTGCAGTATAGTGAGAAAATATTAGAACTAGTAGTATTTATGTTTACTTTTATGTAGAAAAAAAGAAATTCTTTGCTAATATACTGATAATCATATAAACAGACTGTATAAATATACAGACATTAGGGGTGCATGCTCAGAAGTTTTTACTAGGAGTTTTAGATAACATCACTCTGGAGACCACTGGTTCCTTCTGTCTTCTGCCCATTTCCTACCACTCTCTACCTAGCTCAGTCCTCTTGAATTACCCTGGTCTTTTACATGTTTCTCAAACTCACCAGGATTACTCTCAGATTCTTTGCACATCATCACCCAGCACAATCCCTCGCTTTGTGCAGGACTCTGCTCTAGTACATATCCCACTCCCAGCCCACCATCAACTCTCCACCCACAGAACCTGCTTTACTGTTCTGCATCTCACTTGTATTTGCCTGAAACTATGTATTTGTATATTGTCTGTCACCATAAATGGAATGGAAGCTCAGGGAGTATGAGAACTTTCTCTGTTTATGGCCCTGTCTCCAGTGCACCAGTAATTACAAGCTAAGTGGATATCTGTGGATTCTTACCTCTGTTATCATGTGGCCACCTGAGTAGAGATCACTATCTTTCCTAACCTTGTTTGGCTGACTAGTATGTCTGCATCCATGAATACCAATGCTGTCCAAGAAAGCATTCTGCAATGATGAAAATGTACTATATGTGTGCTGCCCAAAATAGTAGCCATTAGCCACATGTGTTGTTGGGCACTTGAAGTGCACCTAGTGTGACTTAGGAATTAATTTTTCATTGTATTTAAGTATTCAAGTAGCCACATGTGGCTGATGGCCACTGAATTGGACAATGACACTCCAGACTGTGAGGTCCTTGAGGACCTTATTCTCTAGTGACAAGAGCAATTTCTGACATGTGACAGACAGTAAGGAAGTACTAAATGGGTGTCTGGCCTAAGGTGGGTCTTAGAGAGGGTAAGGAATTAGTGTTTTAACGTGAACTTGTGATACTATTTTTGCTTTAGTTCACACAATCACCAGAAAGCCCATGTCTTGGCATGATAACCTGGAGGAACCTGCAGATGGTAAGTCCTGGAGTTAGAGAACACCACTGAGCTAGAACAAAGAGAGGCAGATGGCTGCGCGGTCCTCAGGGTAGTCTCAACTTGGGGCAAATAACAGTCCTCTGCTTTGATCATCTGAAAACTGGACTCATACTAACTAAGCTTACAAGAGGCTGACATATTCCGCCATCCTCCCAGTTTATGAACTTTCAAGCCAACAGAAATGATTCTAATGACCTTAACGTTGCATTCATTCATTCATCAAACATTAGCTTTTATAAGCACAAGTTTTGGAATCATACTGAGTTCCAGTTCTGGTTCTGCCACTCATTAACTGTCTGACTTTGGGCAAGACTTTTATATCTCCCTGAGCTTATCTCTTAGGGTTCTTGTGAAGATTAAACAAAATATTTCACACGCTTAGAATAGTATCTGGTACATGGTGATCAGTAAATGTAGGTCAATACAACTACTTTCATTATTCCTAAGTGATAGTCACCGTGTGATAGGATAGTGCTCTGTGATGGGCCCGGGGTGGGGATCTTCTACCACAGTGAAGGAGACAGACAAATAGATTAGAGAATAGGACTGGAATGGCAGCAGCATAGAAAACGTGTGACTAAGTCAGGCAGTGGAGTTTTGGGAAGTCTTAAAGGAGGTGGTGGAAGGATGTTCCAAGTTATATGGAAAGACACAAAACTGAGAGATACCACGATGGCCCTAGAACTGTGAGCGCTTTGGCAGGCTGCCATATACAGGTGGACACTGACCACGCATGGGGAGGAGGGAAGAGAAATGAATATTTGATGGAAAGCCTAGTCCACCCCCTCTACTTTCTTAGAGTAGACTATACAGTGGAGGAAGGACATAGGACATGGAGGATGGAGTGGGAGATGCGGGGAGGAGGGAGTGCAAATGATCACAGAGCAGAGTGGAGACAGACAAGTAAATGAACTAAATAAAAGAGTATAATCAAAAAAGGTAATGTTCTTACATGTAGTAAAGACACCAGCCTGGCTAAGGTAAAGGATAGGAGTTGGGGACGTGTAGCAATATGAAAAGTAACAGGTGGTGAGGTCTCGAAAGCCAGGCAGGAGTTCATCACTAGCTCCCTTATGCTAAGGATGAGCTTAGCCAGATGCCAGGCCATTTAATCACACTCCTTCAGTGCATTCTAACTCACCTCGCTGAGGTGGGTATTTGCCTCCCATTGTACAGAGGAGCAAAATGAAGCCCAGAGAAGTTAAACCCCTTAACAAGATAGTAATGGAGGATCCAGGAATGTTCCACTACAAACCTCAGGTTCTCCCTGATGTCAAACTGCCTTTCTCAAATTGAGACTTGACAAGATAGAAATTAGAAATGAAAATTCTTTAAGTCCTTAAGCTGTGGAGCTACAGACATACCTGGTTTGGGCAATGAGATTTATTTCAGTACAAAAGGATCTGACCTTCTCACAGGCCTCCTCCTCCTCACTCTTTGGGCCGCAGCTGCATGGTCCAAACTCACTCAGGCCTCAGGCCTTTGTTCTCACCGCCTGCAGCGGCATGCTTTTCCTCTGCCTCCTTCAGGCCAGCTCCCACTTGGCATTCAGAGAGGCCTCCTCTCACGATGGCGTCAGACAGTAGCCAGCTGACCTCCGTGTGCCCCTTTGACTGCTCCCTTCTTCACAGTCTGCATCACGGTTTGCAACCATTGCGCTTGTCTGTACACGCGTACATTGTGTCCCTGTCCCTCCCCCTAGACTAGGCGCTCCAGAAGAGCAGGGTCTCACTCTACTCTATCTCCAGAGCCCAGAACAGTGCCTGGCACAGTTTGTACCAAATAGGTATTTGTTAAAAAATGAGTGGAGGAACCAGACACCCTTGGCGCAAGGCTCTGAGCCCAGGTGCTCCGCCTCTAAGGAAGAAAGTGTACAGAGTAACAAGGGCACAGGATCACATGTTGTTCCCCAAGACTGACTCTTTATAACTCATGCCCCACCCTCCAGACAAGTTTCTGAATCTTATTCACCATGCTGCCCAGGGACCCAGGAAGAAATACTCAGAGACACAGACTGAAAGCCAAGAAATTGGATGGTTCTCAGAGCCCTTGGTAAGTGTGTCTCCTTTACTTAGTAAGCACAGAGGCAAAAGAGGTCGGGGCTAAGATAGCAGAGGATGGGCCGGAAGTCTGGTTTTGAACTCTGGTTACCACTTACTTGCCGTGTGGCATTGAATAAGTGACTGAGCTAGTTTATGATTCAGTTTTCTTGGTATTAACTGGAGACATTATAGTATGTATCTCATAAGGTTATGAGGAATAAATGAGGTGGGATTTGTAAGGTGCAAGAACAGAGCATGCCACATAGTAAGTACTGTGTATGTGATGATTAAAACAAAGGTTGCTAGTACAGACTGCTGGAATTTGCTTCACCGGCAATTGATAGGCTGGTCTTGGCCATGCCACTTAACGTCCCTAAGTTCTGTCCCTCTACCTGTAAAGTGGGAATGATAGTAACCGTACTCACCTCATCTGACTGGAAGATCCCCACTACCTACAAGGAGCCTTTAGCACATCATCACCCTAAATAATACAGAGCTTCCATTACCGAGGAAAAAATGCAGACTTTTCAATAGATATCTTGAAGAACTTCTGCCACTCTTGTCTCTTAACTCTGCTTATGTCTTTCATCACATAGAAGGTTTTAGTTTTTAAGTAGGCAGTGTGTCAATTTTCTCCATTATAGTTTCTGGGTTTTGTGCCTTGCTTAGGAAAATCTTCAACGTCCCAAGTTACAAAACAACTAACTTTTCTCCTACATTTCCCCCTAAATGCTTGGGGTTTTTTTTAACACCTGGCTTCCAGTGCATCTGTATATTTTGTGGGTGACATGATGTTGCAGACACTGTTCCACGGCTGCGTCAGAGCTTCTGCACGGTCCCAGAGGCCCATGGCCTTACACACCCTGTATCTCCACATGGACTGCTGCTGTAGCCTGGCTCTGGGCCCCCAGCCAGTACTCCTTGGGGGAGTCCTGCTCGTGCTTCAAGGCAGCTCAGGAGCCATCTCTCCCAGAAAGTCCCATTAAGGGATTTCCACCCCCGACTCCCTAGCAGGCAGAGTCAGGCACTGTGCCCTGTGCTTCTATAGTCCCACGAGCCTCCTGCTGTTACAACTCAATTCAGTGTTTCAATATACCACGGGCTCTGGAGCCAGACAGCCTGAGTGCAAATCCCAGCTCCACCACTTTGTAACTGTGAATTGAAACTCTGAATCTCCATTTATATACTGTTAAACAAAGATAAAAATATTGATTCTTGAAGGTTCGTTGTGAGGATTAACCAGAAATGTACATAATTTGCTAGAATAGTACCTAGCACATGGTAAGTGCTCAATAAATGCAGGCTACTGTGTTATCAATGAAGAATAGAAAGGAGGGCACATGGCCCCACCGAGGGCCATCACGTGCTTCCCCTGGCCCCTTGGCTTGTGCCTGGTTGTCTTTGCCCACTGAGTAATTATGTGTACACCCTTCCCACCAACGCTCCATACCCTGTCCTCTTATTTCTACTACGGGGACCTGGCCTTCTCACCATTTCTACAACTCCAATCTGGAGCATATGGCTCTGCCACTGGGTGACTGCATGGATGCTGAATAAGAGTCCCAGTAAGTCACTGTGAGGAGGAGAGCTAACAGTTGCGCGTTTGCAACAGCCCCTCTTCAGACACAGGGCGGTGCCGTGGAGAGAGGAGACTGTGGGAGACAGGGCGAAGGTTCCCTTAGGAGCCTCACCGCTTTCATGGGGGACCGAGTCCAAGAGGGGAAGGCCCGGCAGACAGCTGGGGAAGAGATGCATATTCAAGGGAAATAGGGCAGGATGTGTGCGTGTGAAGGGAGGGGTTCACTTACAGTGAATAAAAAGAGGGTTGTGAAGGAAAGAATGTGAAGGTGAATTAAACATCACCCAAGTTAGAAACTTGGCAACTTATAGAACTACTATAAAGTACAATAATTTCTGTCATCGTTCTTCATTTTCTTAAAGATAAAGGCCTGACTCCCATGGGTACAAAGCGTGCATGTGGAAATGCTGCATCTTTGACAAGCACATCTCACGCCAGGCTCACCATGCCATGACAGGAAGGACTAGTGTGACTGCCCTGGCCAGCCCTGCCCGGCTTCACAGCACCGCCCGCTCCCACCTCCTCTCCAGGCCTTGCAGATAATTGACTGTGTGGGCCGTCACATGACTTCTCCACAATGGAGTCGTGAAGGGTCTGCAAATAAGCTAAGCATATTCATCATTATAAACTGGAGACATTGCCACTAGATGGCAGTGGTGGCATAGTAAGGAAGTATACCCCAGTACCGTTACATCCAGTTGTGCAAACAACTTGTGCTTGAGGCAGAAAAAACTTGATCAGCCCCAACTTTATTTAGGGCTCCATGGCCCCTGGCAGGACCTTAGCGTGCCCGATCCCAGTAATAGGACGCTGGGGAGGCCACACTCAATGAATACCACTCAGCCTCTGGTCTCCACATGGGCTGAACCGTGTCCTTTAGGTAAATAGCACAGTGGCGCTTCTGTGAGGTTTATGTGTCAGAGTTCTCACTCTTACTCAGTTCCCTGTGTAACTACTTCAACACTCCATTCATTCATTCATTCATTCACTCATTCATTCACAGACATGTACTGAGTTCCTAGTGCCTGCTGCATGCTGTTCTAGGTGCAAGAATAAGCAGTGACTAAAGCAGAGAACACCTGCCCTCCTGGAGCTCACATTCTAGTGGGGGAAGGGCCCACAGGCCTTGAACTTAGACAGTGGAAAGGAGAGGGCAGAAGCTTTGCACAGGATATTCTCATCCAGTCCTGCAACTTTTGGCATGTCAATGTTACCATCTTCATTTTGCAAACCGGGTTTAGCAAGGAAAAGATCCAGAGATTGTGCATCAGCAGAGTGGGCTCCGATTCAAGTCCAGGTCCATCGGTTCCTAGCCCAGGCCTTCCCCCTTCTCTACAGGCAGCTTTCTGACACTTATGTTCTCCTGTCTAGGTCAACCCAGAACATGATGACCGTAGGCTGAACCACTTCAGAGTCTACAGTGACATCACTCTGTACAAGGCTAAAATGTGGAGCTTGGGTGAAGATGATCGCCGCAAGTAGGTTGCCAGCACTGATGTCTACCCGTCTTTAATGCCCAAAGCGTGTGCTTTGGGCATTAGATGCCCAGATAAAGATACTTTAAAGCCTGAATTTCTCCTATCCAGAGTCTCTTTTCTCCCTTCTGCGCATGCCCACTGGATCAAATCCATCATCTTCTAAACTAGTCAAAGTCCAGTAACTAACTGCCAACAGTACCTTCTCTGCCTTCCCAGGCCCTGGTCAGGGAACAAAAGGGATACAGTATGAATCCGCACAGAATGGGAATCATTAGCAACCAAGAAAACTAAAGACGTTTAGAAGATGGAAAGCTGATGAAAGAGGGTGTAAGAAGCCACCAAATGCGAGCTAAATGGGACACCTCTCAGCACAGAGCCCATGTCCTAGTCTTCGTTGGACCCTTGGACAGAATGGGGTGTGAAAGTGGACACTGGAAGGGAGCCTGCAGGGAGGCCCACTCCACACACACCAGCGTCCGGCCATTTAACATCTCCCACACTAGAGGCTTATGCTTGGGTGAAATGGGGAAAGCCCAGGGTTCAGGGAAATTAAGTAAAGCACAGGGAAGCAATGAGGTATGAGGCTGAAAACAATGAAAATCTGGGAAGGGCAGGTTGAATCCCTAGTCCACACCTATACTGCATCTTTCCCCTGGGTTTGAAGCTGATGAAATCCTCTCTGGAAAAATACAACAGCTCTAAAGAGAAAACTGCCATGTAGATCCATTTAAAAGTCCTAAAAAAAAGCTGGAGGTGGGGTGGGGGGCCTAAGGGGACTAAAAGTTCATGTAAAAAAATACAATAAAGGCTAGAGAAACATCTATATCAAAAAACATAATAAGAGCTGGGCGGCCCTGACAAGTGTGGCCCAGTTGGTTGGGTCGTTGTCTCACAAAACAAAAGGTTGGTGGTTTGATTCCTGGTTGGGGCATATGCCTGGGTTTGGGGTTCCGGTCGCCAGTCAGGGTGGGTATGAGAGGCAACTGATAGATGTTTCTCTCTCACGTTGATGTTTCTTTCTCTTTCTCCCTCCCGTCCCTTCTCTTACTAAAAATAAATAAAATCTTTTTTTAAAAAAAAAGGCGGGGGGCCGTCCAGCCTGGGAACACATGGAGGTGCTGGAGCGTGGCACACCAGAGAGGGCACGGAAGCGCCAGGCACCCCCACCTTGCCCTCCCTGCCTCGTCCACTTGGCTGCTTGAGTCATGCTGGAAAGGGTGAGGCCATATCCTGCTGAAATCTCTCCTGCTTTTGGAACCTTAAAATGTCTAGTGAAAGCCTACAAACCTGAGTGGCCTCCCTGGGGAGACATTTTCATACAATATGATGATGGACTAAGCTAATTATTAATGACTATGTGGGAATCTAGAAATGTGCCAATAATCCATTTGCTACAAGGGAGTGATTTTTCAATCCTTTTCACCTTATTGTACACATAAACTAATTACATACTAAAATTCTGTGACACACCAGAAAACATTTTTTTTGCCAGACAAAAAAATAGGTATAATTTTTATTCATTCACACCGGATGGGTATTGTTGTGTTGGTTGTTGTCATTTTTTTTAATTTGACAATCTAAGGGAAAAAGAGGTCAGTGCCCCTGACTAAATAGTCAGGTATTGCATGTTTTAAAAATTCTTGCAGCTCACCAGTTGGAAATTGCTGCTGTGAGGGAACTGCTGTCAAAGACCAGGGGCTGATACGATATCATATAAAGATATTTACCCCAGTCAGGAGGGCTGCCCCTCCTCGGTTCTCATCTTGCTCACAAGAGAAGAATCTGGGTGAGAGACAAACGCCTATAGTGGAAATGAGATGGCAAGTTTGTTTATGAAATACTCTTCAGCCTGAAGCTACAAGCAGGCACCCCGTTAATCTGAACACCCCATGCATAGGGGAAATAAAGGTGTTAGTAAATTTGGGCACTCAGCTAATCTGAGTGTCTCACATACAATAGAAAATGAAGCTGCAAGTTTGTCTATACATTTGAGCAAAAAGCTGCAAGCAGGCACCCAGCTAACCTGAGTGCCCCAACTATTGGAGTTCAGGGGTTATATACTTCACTCAGTTTCTAGGTTCCCCCTCGTCCTTCTCCCCTCTAGACCTTGGGATGAATGCAACTTGCTATCCCAGCCAGTGGAGATGATACAGACTTTCAAGGGCTCCCCTTCTCCTGCACTATCAGTTTTGTTTGTGATTCTCAGAACGCCTGGCAATCGTAATGGACCAGGCTCAGGACTGCTGGGTCAATGGGTAAGACCAGTCTCCCTTTTGTTTCTAGCCTCCTGTTTTATTTTAAGTTCTTCATTAGATTGCACCGGGCAGCGGCCCTGCTTTATTTCCCCTCCAGCTGTTCATTCCTAGCTGCTAACAATGTTATAAAAAGATACTTGTTCTTTCTCCAGTTCTTAGCACAGAGCCCCTAAATCCCTAGCAATTTCCTAAGTGACAAGTCTTTTGTTGTGATGAGGTGACTCTTGGCAGCCACTAGATAGATCCAACAAAATGGGGGCTCCTCACCAGTAGGACCAAGCCTTAATTAGAACCCTGAACTTTCAGGCCCACCACCAACCTCTGGGGAGAGAACAGGGGCGAAGACTGACTTTCTCACCAGTGGCCATGATTTAATCACGCCCACATCATGAAGCCTACATCATGAGTCCTCCATAAACCTCACTAACTGCAGGGTTCAGAGAGCTTCCAGGTGTGAGAACACAGCCTGGTGTTGGGAGGGCAGTGTGTCCAAAGAGGGCATTTACATGCGCCACAACCCCCTGCATTTAAAAAATTTTGTCAATATTGGTTTTCAAGATTGTGGAGGAGTGAATGGAAGTCACACTGACCTCCTCCACCGTAAGGGGGATTGGCCTCCTCCCAGGCCAATCTGTAATTACAACTAAATGGTGGAGAAATCACCCAGAACTAACAACGAGAGAGAAGCCTTACCACCTCGGACACACAGAAGAATCAGCCTTAGCACAACCTGACTGGTAAGGACTGTGGTAGAGACTTGAGAAGGCTGGCTGGGCACCCATGGGCGGCAGCACCAGAGGGATAGTTAAATGGCCAGTTGGATCCCCCTGAGAAGAGCAGGCTCTAAACCATAAGCAGGGATCCCTGGTCTATAGTGCCAGAATCCAAAAAGTACAGGTAACAGTCATCTGCAAAAAGTGGCAGGGTTGCTCTCTACCAGAGACAGGCGGCTGAAAATGCAAAGAGCCATTTAAAGGGCCAATGCATAAATTTTTATTTGCAGCCACTTACCCTGTGCTCCAGCAAAGGTGGTGGCAGAGTGGGCTAGAGACACCTGAGGAGAGACTAGAGACGGAGGCTTTGGGGAGAGAACTGAGGGAATAGCCGGCGGAATCCTGGTGCTGACTCATCCCCCATACAGCAGCAGCCGTCTTGCTCAGGCAGATCATTCCCCTGAGTGGCACTAAGCATAAGAGGAAACAATAGTCCCACCTCCAGGAGGACTCTGCCCCACCCTGAGCTGTCTAAGGCAGCCTGCTGAGTACAGGGTGACCAGGTTAACAACTGAAGGAGACAGCCACAGACAGTAGATTCCTGGAAGTCTCGAACAGACTGCCTAAGGTCAGACATCTGACATCATCAGAGGCAGACCCAGGAAGAAAAAACAGCAGTAAATACTAGAGGCTACCAAAATGAAAGCCACTGTGGTCTTCTCCATGATTTGCAGTATTTTCTTTACTACATAGCTTTTTAACATCCATTTTGGCTCCATCAAGTTTGTGCATATTAAGCCATTAGATTTTATACTAATAGTTTATTTCTCTCCTTTCTTATAATAGTCTTGATCTCTTTACAGCCTTATTAATACTGGTTCATTTGCTGTTGATAGTGGGATTGCAGGGGAGAGTTATTTTTGTGGATGTGGGTTTATTTCCTGGGCACAGGTTTTGTTCTGGCAGCACCTGCACAAAAACACACAAGACGTGATGGGCAGAGTGACCCTCAGTCAACCTGATAGCGAGAAGGACCCACAAAAGAATGATCGAACAACAATCAAAACCCAATTACTTCCCAGGAGTCAACATAAATGGCATAAAAGGCATCCAAAGAGCAGCAAGTTCAGGAGATCAAGGAGCCTGCACCGCTAAATCTCACAGGTCTCCTAACATAGAAGTTCATGCCACAAAGTCAGGAAGTCAAGACAGATCAATTTAAGAAGCAGAAGCAAAAAAGAGTCTCGCAAATAATGGAAATACAAAGAAACAACCCCCAGTTGAAGGGAAAGGAGGAATCCCTAGAAAGAGAACTAAATGAAATAGAGGCAAGTAAACTATCAGATATTGAGTTCAAACAATGGTTATGGGGAAGCTCAATGAGCTCAGTGAGCTCAGAGAGAATTACAAAAAACTATAGGGAAACTATAAGGAACTTACTGCAAATTATATCAGCATGAAAGAGGACATAGAAACTATCAACAAAAGGCAAGAGGAAATGAAGAATACAATTTCTGAATTGAAGAACACAGTAGAAGGAATCAAAAGCAGGCTAGATGAAGCAGAGGATCAAATCAGTGAGCTGGAGGATAAGGTAGAAAAAAGTTCCCAGAAAGAGCAAGAAAATGAAAAAAAAAAAAGACTCAAAAAGAATGAAGAGGCATTTAGGGAAATGCAGGACAACCTGAAATGTAATAATATCTATATAATAAAAGAAGAGGAGTAGCAAAGGATAGAGAACCTGTTTGAAAAAGTAATGAAGGAAAACTTCCCTAATTTGAGGAGAGAAAAAATCACACGAGTCCAGGAAGCACAAGGGGTCCCATTCAAGAGGAACCCAATGAGGCCCACTCCAAGACACATCATAATTAAAATTGCAAATATCAAAGACAAAGAGAGGATCTTAAAGGCAGCAAGGGAGTAACAGGTAGTAACATACAAGGGAGCCCCAATGTGGCTGGCAGCTGACTTCTCAACAGAAACATTACAAGCCAGAAGGGAATGGCAAGAAATACTCCAAGTAATGAAAAGCAAAGGCCTACTACCAAGACTACTCTACCTG